CATCCAGTCACTGGGACCAGAGCCTGGGTAATGGTCCTCTCACCAGGAATTAGAGACAGGCCAGTTCAATCACTAGTAGCTAGAACCCATGAGAGGGCTGAGTCACAAGAAAGTAGAGCACAAGAGAGGGTCTAGTCACAGGGCTTAGTGACTGGCAACTAGAAACCAGGTGCTTTTTCAGCCACTGGGAACCAGAACACAGGCTTCAGTCCAGTCACTGGGAACAACAGCACTGTGAGCATCTGGTGACTAGGAACCAGGGCCCATGGGAGTGTCCAGTGCTGTTTGCATGCTTCATGATGAAGGCTCAGGGCTTGGCCAGGCATCTCTGCCTCTAGATCAAAGCCCCATCTCCGTGCATGGACAGGTAATTCCACCTCTGGATCAATGGTTCACCCAGAGCCTGGCTAGGCAACCCTATGTCTGGATTAATACATCAACCATAGCTTGGACGGCACCCCCATCCTTGGATCAATGAGCCACCCTGTGCTTGGCCAGGCAGCTCTATCTCTGGATCCATGTGCCAACTACAGCTTGAGCAGGTAGCCCTATCCTTGGATCAATGTGTCACCCAGGGCCTGGCCAAGCAGCTCTATGTCCAGATCAGTGCCCCACCTAGGGGTGGGTCAGGCAGGCAGCTCTATTTCTTCCTTTTTTTTTTTTTTCTTTTTGGTACTGGGGATTGAACTCGGGGTCTTGCACTTTCGAGGCAGGCAGCCGAACCACTGAGCTAAATCCCCAGCCCTTTATTTCTTGTTCAATGCACTACCATCCTTCACCTCAACTGGAATCCCCCTCATCTGCCTTTGACATACTGGTCTCAGCTCTGCTGCACATGGCTCAGACTGCACTGTGTAGAAGCAGGTCTGTGTTTTCAAAGGTTCATACGTGCTGGCAGTTGAAAGCTTGCTGCCCCTGGAAGTGACATGCACAGGACTGAATCTGAGCTCTGTCCCCTGCCCCGGTCACATTGGGGCTCTATCATCTTTGGCATTTCACAGTGAGTCCATGGCCAGAAGGAGTTTGGAAACTTGGCATTTTCCCCCCAAAAAGATTGCACCTGTGTATTCAATTCCTGTGCTCTAGTGGCCACATCTGGGACCACACCCGGCCCAGTCAACTGCAGCATTGCATTTTAATGTCAGGTGATGGGGCCTTGTAAATGCTGATTCTGTTCTGGGCACATCCAAGTGAGCAGGCCACAGAGTTCACACCAGGCTCCTGTCCTGGGTGTGTAAGAGTGAGCAGGCCCCAGAATTCACATCAGGCTCCTATCCCTGGTGTGTAAGGGTGAGCAGGCCCCGGAGCACACACTAGGCTTGCTCATAATCTGCTAGCCCCAAGTAAACAAAAGTCACAATTTCAGACATTCAGCAGCCAGGTGTGCAAGCAGTCTGCTTCACTCCAAGTTGCTCAGAGATGGGAAAATGTTTAAATTTTCCAGAAGGCAGACACCAGAAGGACTTTCTTGTTCGTGGTACTCCAGCGTGAGACCCACTGTCATTAGGGGAGGCAGAGGGCACTCCCTGTCTGACTGCAGCTCTGATGATCACCGTTTCTTCCTGTGTGAAGCGTTCCTGGAAAGTGCCATCTAGCTATGCAGAAGGCTCTGAGTTGGCTAAGAAATATCCAAGGCCCCTTTTTTTGCACAATGGCCCTGGGGAGAGTCCCGATACCCTCAGCACTCTGGTCACTGGTTGTGATGTCCATCAAGGTACGTTGCAGTGGCTGGATCCGTGTTTAAGTACAGCTCAGAATGAGAAAGACCTTGGCAGATTCACAATTCTCATCCACCCTCAGAAGGCGTCAACACCCTCTTATCTGTGAAAGATTCCATTATTCTTTCTCTTGAGATTGATTATTCTACTTTAACTTCATATTACTCACAAAAGTCTCACATTTTTCTGGAAAGCACTCCAGTATTATTTGTAATTGACAATCTCCCCTCAGATGATTTAGGATGTAGGTCTGCCAGGGCATGGATTCAGATATTAAATATTATTCCATGTCAATTATGCTGTGATTGTTCTGAAAGCTTTTTGTATTCAATTTTATTCATTCTGCTTATGACTATAATTTAAATATGGGATTTTCTTTATTGTGTTAAATGTATTATCAATGCAGTGCTTTAGCTTAATAACTGTACGATGCATACAATTTTAAGTATTTTCCAAGATCTTGAGCCAAATCAAAGTAAAGTGTGTTATGTCTCCAAATTAGAAAAAAGATTTTATTGTAATTCTTTTTGAAGACAGTGCAAGAAAACACAGACAACTGCAGGATTATTTTTAATACCCCAGAAGAATTTGAAATATTTTTGTCACAATGCTATGGAAACTGCAGTTGGATAGAGGGGAAGGGATACTTCACTAGAGCACATTGCTTTAGAGCTGAATAAATTCTAAATGTTTATTAAAGTCTTTATATCTTAAAAGAAATATAATTGAATGACCCATTCCATCCATTTGATCAAGGTAATGTCCAAAACATTTTTAATGTCCTCAGTGTTCACTCCACCCCCTGACCAAATTCCAAGATGTCCAGACACCGGTCTGGAAGTCTACTGTGGGCTGAAGGACTGTGGAAATGTGACCACCCACAGGGCCCTCACATGTTCCCGCATGGTGGCATTCACTCTGCTTACTGCTCCTCTATCGAGGGGAAGGACTCAGAGCAGGCTCCAGACACACCAGGGGGCTCCCCCAGGGCCAGTCCTCCCCAACGGGGCCACTTTCAGCCAGGGCTCCTGGGTGATGTCTCTGCAGATCACTGCGCCTCACTCTGGCCTAGTTCTGCCCACTCTACACTGACTCTCAGCAGCTGGTCTCAGGCACAATGAGCAGTAAGTATTGTGGTAGCTACACTGCAACCTGTGGGAGGCCTCACTGCCACCCAGCAGGGAGACCAGAAAGGGCTGCATGGATGTGGTGGCCTGGGGCAGTGGGCATAAGTGTGGCTGTCCTGAAGCTCAGTGTGACTTCTCCCCAGCCTGAGCCAGGTTCCATCCCCAACGTTTCAGCCTGGCCAAGTGCCGGCACCCTCTGACCCATCTCTTCTTGGGTGCTAAGCAGGCGAGTGCTGAGTTCTTATCTAAGAACTCACTTCATCTCTCTTTAGCTTCTGATGGCCCTGGGTCATTGCTGGCAGTCATTCCCTCCCTGGTGGGTGGTGCTCCCCAGGGCTCTGCCAGCGGCCCCTCTTCTCTGAGGTAGTAGCATCCCCTCCTTTGATCCTCCTGCCTCATGGCTGTTTAGGCTCTGTTCTCCCTTGTAACTCCAGGCTGGTGCACATAAAACAGGCCCCAGAAGCAAACGCTGGCCACCTCTTGGGGTTGATGTGGGGTCACTCCTTCCTCCTACCTGTCTGATGGGGGTGCTATAGTAACATCCTCCCTCTCCTCCCTTTCCTCTTCTTTCTCCTTCTTCCAGTACTGGGCATTGAACCCACCCAGGGCTTTCTCACTGAGCTACATCTTCCTTTTTTTTTTTTTGTATTTTTTGAGACAGGGTATTGCTAAATTGCTCCAGGTGGGCTTGAACTTGTGATCCTCCTGCTTCAGGCTTCCACTTTCCTGGGATTGGGACTGTTAGAGGGTGGGACTGGCTCCACTTGCCCTACAGCCAGGTCTCCTTCAGGCCCACTAACTCACTGGCTCCTGCCTGCCCTTCTAGAGTGCCAGTGTTGCATGGAAGAGCTAGAACCTTGTTGATATACAGTGGCACTCAACTTATGGTTGTTGAATGAATTCCTGTGGACTTTGCTTAAACCAAATCCTTAGCACCCAACTTCCTACTCCTGTTATTGTATAGTTTTATAAAAAGTTGTGGTAAAATACCACGTAACATAAAATTCACCTAAATGTGCAGGTTGGTGACATTAGGTACATTTGCACTGTTGTCCAGAGCTATTTTTTAACCTGTCAGCTCCAGAGTCCTGTGTCACCTGTCAGAGTTCTCCTGGCCCCCAGTGACCATGTTCAGGGCACCCAGGGAAGCCTTCCTCAAACATAGCAGGTGCAGGGCCTGGAGGAGGCCTCGTGTCTACACCACCCCCACCGTATACCATTGGCTCATGCTCTCCACTGGTCCTGCCTGTCCCTGGCCAGCCTCCCTTTTCTAGCCTAGCACTTGCCTTCCTCCTGCCCAGCCCAAGGCTCCAGCATGTCCTCCCTGGAGAGATCTCCAGTGTCTTTTGCCCCTCAGGGGAGCAGTTTCCCAAATCTCCTGGAGATGGTGCTTGACCCCTCCCTGCTTATTCTTGGGCCAGGACAGTGCCTGCCAAGGGGGTGGGCACCGGCCCCAGCAAGCCTTCTTCACAGACAAGTCGGGTGCCCACTGAAGCCCCTGAATTCAGTATCTGCATCTAGGCCTGAGTCTCACAACAGATGCTGATGGGTGCTTAACCTTGCTGCTGTCCCTGATCTGGCCACCTCCAGGGTGAGCTACTCCAATCGGCCAGCTGGGCCTCCCTGGTGTCTGCTGGGGATACAGGTGCAGAGCTGGGACTGACAGCCTGTGAATGCATGAGGATCACAAACAGGGAAGGTCCCCAGAAGAAGGTGCCACCTGTCCACTATGATGGCAAAAGGAAGAGACCCCCCCTTAATGTGACATGTGCTTACATTCCTTCTGGGACCGGGACTCCTCCCTCCCAATGCTGTCCTTCTCTGTGTTTAGCTGAAGGCTGCCTCTTGTGATTGCAGTTCATCTCAGTTTTCCCTCTGTGCTATCAGGGTCTTAACAGGAAGCCAGCTATGAGCCCCCATGGTCTGCTCAGCTTGGTGACAGCTGTCTTATCCTAAGGTCTTCCATAGAGCTCTCACTGGTAATCAATAACTTATCAACTAGAGTTCCGGGTTTCAAATAGCAGAAACTGATTCTGGCAGATTTAATAAAAAAGATACTAATTAAATAAAAATAGGGAAACCACAGGCTCAATAAGGCTTGACCAAAATGCTGGTAGCCACAGGCCAGGGTCTCCACTGGTGACACTTCTAGCCTATGACAGCACTGGAGGAGACTCTGGAGCAGCTGTCACTGTGGGAAGCCATGTTTGCCGAACTTTGCCCCAGTTCCTGCCACGTGGGCAGAAGCCCAGGTACTGGTGCTGGAGGTGAAGGTGCCAGTCATCATCTAAGGAAGGAAGAGCAGGATCCCCTGGGCCCTGACCTTGTTAGTCCAGCTCAGCTGGTCCCTTGTTCTTGGATGAGCACCCTGACTGGCCCTTTCACATTTCCTCTTGGCTATTTCCAAGCAGATGTTAGAGAGCCAAGGCTGCTTCGTGGACATCTGTGTCCTAGGGCACATCTTCCTCCTCCAGGCCCAGGGGCACCTGCCTGCTTTGAGCACGGAACCCTGCACTGTTGAGGGGCAGGGCACCGTATGGGTCCTCAGGAGCAACCCTGTCTGGGATCTGTAGTCTGATAGGAGGCCAGGATGTGTGGTATCGAGGTAATGAGATCTGCCCCCAGATCCCCTGTGGCCGTTAGAGGGAGATGGTGTCTCAGTCATCCACCAGCATTCACCTCCATGTGAACCTCTGGGAGCTGGGCACTGCCCCAGCATGGAATATCGTGCCCAGCTCACGGATGGCTTCTGCTCTTTGGTGTGCATCTAAATGAATCAGGTTTTGGGTTGGGAAAATTTAAGTCTAGCCTCAAAGGTCAACTTCACCTGACTGGAAGTTAAAATCACTGTCTCACAGGGTTGTGTAGAGGACTAAACAGAAAGCCAAACAGGAACGCTCTTAACATCTGTGCTTCAGCAAATATTGTACTACTTTTCCCCCTCATCCTGTAACTCCAGGCCTGGAGGATGCCTTATAACACGCCGCTCAGGCAGGCGTCGCGACCTTGAGGCCGCCAGGAGGGGGCAGCGCGCGGCAGGGAATCCGCGCCCGGCCTGCGCGCTCTCCGCCCTCTGACCCCGGCGCGCGCCGTCTCTCGCCTCAAGGAGGTGCGGGGTCCTTGCCCCCCCAACCCGCCTGCGCTGTCACGTGCGCACAGCCAGCAGGGACCGGGCGCCGCGCTCCCAATCGAGTCAGAGAAGGAGGCCAGGGCATCGCCGGGTCCCCAGCTGCTCGCCAGCGCCGGTGGGGCGCGCAGTCGGGGCAGCGCCCTCCCGAACTTTCCCGCGCGGCGCGGGGACCGAGGGCGCGGGCCGAGCTAGGCTCTCAGCGCTCGGCCAGGTGCAGAAGGCAGCGCGCGCCCCCGCGCACGAACCCGCGGCCCCGGAGGGCTCGCGTGGGGGCGCCGCGGGGGAGCGCGCACGCTGCCGGCCGCGGCAGGGACCCGGCCGCCCGCCGAGCGCGCGGGGACATCACCGAGCGCGGGGACAGGTGTTGTTGCTGGCCCGCGCCCGCCGAGGAGGAGGAGGAGGAGGCAGAGGAGGAGCGGAGGCGGTGCCGCGCTCCCCACGCCGCTCTGGGTTCCCGGCCGTGCGCGTCCAGGACTGGGCGGCCGCCGAGACGCGGGGCACGCGCGACGGGCACGGGCCGCGCGCGGACATGGACGAGTCCTCGCTGCTGGACCTGCTGGAGTGCGCCGTGTGCTTGGAGCGCCTGGACACCACGGCCAAGGTGCTGCCCTGCCAGCACACCTTCTGCCGCCGGTGCCTGGAGAGCATCGTGTGCTCCCGCCGCGAGCTGCGCTGCCCCGAGTGCCGCATCCTGGTGGGCTGCGGCGTGGACGAGCTGCCCGCCAACATCCTGCTCGTGCGCCTGCTAGACGGGCTGCGCCGCCGGCCCCGTGCGGGCTCTGGCCCCGGCCCCGGCCCGCCTGCGCCCCCCGGCCCCGCAGCGCCCCCAGGCGCCCCTTGCGAGACGGCCGCGGGCAGGAGCGTACCGGTGGCAAAGGTGGGTACCGGCATGGGAGGGGCGCTCGGGTTCTGCACCTCTTCTCTAACTTTGCTTTTCTTCTGGGACCCCCCCAGATCCAGGCATGGCTGGCCGCTCCTACCCCGCACTCAGGCTACCCTGGCCAGGCACCTGGTCCCTGGTGAGCCGCCCTTCCACTCCTTTCTTGAGCCTGTTTCTTTGCCTCTTTGTGTCCTCCTTCATCTCCCCAGTGATAGCCTCTTCCCCGGACCCCCAGACTCTCCACCTGCGCCCCTCAGCGGGCCTAGAGGAAAGTTGGAGCTTGGTGTCTGTCTCCCTGGTTCCGATGGCTGCAGGGGAGCGCGTGGGCTCCTGCCTGTGTGTCTGGTGGGGAGAAAAGGGGAGGGAGCCCTGTGGGGAGCAGGCCACTCTGTGTTTAGAAAGGGGAAGGTTAACCTGGAGGCCCCAGCCTTCTCGGTGTGGCAGGTCATCATGGAGTCACTGTCTACCCTGCACCCTCAGGCAGGGTTGCAGTTCCATGAGGCTGTTGTTTCAGATCCTGATTATTATTTGTGCATCTGCATTGGCCAGCCGTAGCTGCCTCTGTATTAGTGGGCAGACCTCCTTTGGAGGGTTCAATGGCCTGGTTTCAAATCTTCTTGTTCCTGTCATCACATGCCCCCTGTCACCTGAGGTCGCCCACGGGATGCTGCTTGGAGAAAGACACAAAGTACTCCCTTTCTGTGACTTCTGTGGTGGAGAAGAGCACACTTAAAGGTTAAAGAAATTTATGTCGTTGGTTTGTTGGGACTATCATTTGCTTTAAAAGCACAACCATATTTGGCTACCCCTACTATGCAGGGAGTTGGTGCATAGTATAATGTGCAAGGTCCTGAAGGGCTGGGAGCATCTGAACCATGCAGCATCAGAACATCACCGAGGTGGGGAGCTGGCACCTTGGGTGTAGGCTTGGGTCCAAGGCCACACTTTCTGAATTGGGTTTTCTCCAGGCCAAGGAATATTCCTACTTGTGCTCACTGCTGGAGGGGAGTTCCCCACCCCCGCTTTGGTTTTCATTGTGATTGAATCTAGCTACATGCTCCAGTTAGAGATCTGCAAATTTTTCTTTCCTGTTCTTGCTGTTTTTAATGTAAAGATTTTTATTTGCAAAACGAGCAAGTTGCCGCCTGCTTCAATAATTATGTGATTTTTGGAGCTAGCTTCTGGCAAATCTGGTTTTTTTTTTTGTTTTTGAGACAGGGTCTCACTATGTAGCCCAGGCTGGCCTTGAATTCGTGGTGATTCTCCTGCCTCAGCCTCCTGACTGCTGGGATTTACAGGCGTGTGCCACCACATCCAGTGTCTGGCAAATCTCTAGGCTTCTTGGTGGCTGTGTGTTTACAGAAGTCCTCTCTGTTGTTCTTGGAGGAACTGTGTGGGGCCAGGAGGTTGAGAGGTGACCTCTGCCATTCCAGAGGCCCAGACTTGGGACATGTTTGGAATTCAGGCATGGTGGCATTCTTCAGAACTTGTCACAGGGATGGGCACTTACAAGGTTTAGTAACAAAGCTTAGTGACAGGGAACTGAGGTATAGCTGTGTAGATTTTGAGACTATGGGTGACTTTCTAAATGTGCACACAAGGTTGTATTCACAGCTTGGCGTGCTTCAGGGCACCCTGAGAACATGTGTTCTCTCCTTTTGCTCTGTTAGCTGAATGCAGCCCTCTGTCACCATAGGCTACCTCCTAGGGATTAGGTTCTGATTCTGGGGCAAGTCTGAATCAAATTGAGTACAGTCTTTGATCATTTTCAGAGAGGAGAAAGCCATGGTGGAGGAGATTATAATACTGTCAGGCTTTTCATCCCCAGATTCCTTGGTCACCTAGCAGTCCTGGCACTATACTCCTGCTGGGACAGCAGAGCTAGGTCTGGGGAATCCTGAGCAAGATGCGAAGGGTTAGGGGACTGGGCAGAGTCCCATTGAGCCACCTATACTTCTGCAAGCAGAGACTTCAGGTAGAAATTGCCTCTGGACAGGTGTCTAGCATTTTGCTGCACATTGTACTGTGCCGACTCCCTGCAAGCCAACTCTGGTCCCACTGATTGTTTAATCGATGGCTCGTGTCCCACCACTCAGAAGACCCCAAATACGCCCTACTGGGAATGGCCATGAGCAGGCCAGCTCCTATTTTCCTGGTAGGAAGCTCCTCAGATCTGTGAGGTGGGCCAGTTGGGATATGTAAACTTTGTAGCTCTGTAGAGACACAGATAACTCTTAGCATGCCTGCCTTGTGATGTTGGCTACACAGTGGAACACATCATGTGTAAAATTTGTCACCTCTATCTGGTTTCACTTGCATTGGTTTCACCAGCACCTGGAGTCTCCCAACCTGGTCAGCACGGCTGCTCAGCTTCACTTTCATGGGAGTTGTTTAATATGAGGCTGTTTGGGAATCAATTAATGATGCTATTCTTGGACATTTTGGACCTAGTTCAGATCCCCTTTGCCTGGCACTGGGGTTGCCAGTCTTGCCTTGGCCTTTGGTGAATACCGTATGTGTGGGCTCCTAAAGTGACCTTTGAGAATCTTGTTTTTGTTTTGCTGCCCAGTATGGCAATTGCTAATGTGTGCTAAGTTTCTCAGCCTAACTTGCTTATTATTTCTTTTCACAATTTTGGAAAAGATCCCCCTGTAACACTCCAGAGCTGTGTTGAGGGAATTGTTCCAGGACGATCTGCCTTGCTAAGAAGGCCTTTGTGAGGGCTGGGGTTGCAGCTCAGTGGACCAAACAAGCCAAGAACAGGATATGCTTAGATTGGGCCCACTTGAAAATCTCTTCTATACCCCTAGAACAGTGGGATTATATGTGTTGGGTACTTCATTGTATGAACACACATGCATGTGATGCTTACACCATCTTTGGATGCAGGACTCAGGACCTTGAGTCTAGGTTGTGTCATGTGAACATCAAGCCATGGCCTCCACTTACCATTGCCTATTTCTTTTCTTCGAGTGGAGTGGGAGCTCAGAGACTACCAGGGAATTCTGAGTGGTGCATCCTTCTGGATTCTAGGTAATTTTTCCCCTACATTGTTTTATGTTCTCGTTCGCACCTGATTTGACCATTTTGAAGCAATCTGCCTTGGTTGAGTCTTTCTGAGGAGCCATCTTTTTCTTCCAAGGGCAACATTTTCTTTTTTCTTTGCGCTCAGCCTCCTCAGTTACATAATATTTAATTAAAGTACTTTTTAATGTTATGAGGACAACTTGCATAAACATGGTGGAAACAAGGAGGGCAGATGCCTGGGAAGGACAGGCCACCCTGGCATTGTGAGGGGACAGCCCGTCCATGAGGTGCAGTGGGTGCTGTGTGGTCCAGCTGCTCCCTGGCTGGGGCCCAGGCAGAGGTTTTGTGGTGTTTGGAAGTCGGTCACCTTAGTGGATTACCATTCATGGACACCTTCTGTGTCATATCTGCTGTGGGCCAAGGGCTGAGTCAGGCTATCTGAGCCTTTTCTGCTCCTCACGCCAGCTCCATGAGGTTGCTGTCATCAAGTGGAGGCAGCTGGGCTGCAGCTTCTTGTGCTGAGGGGCACACAGTGCCTCCTGGTTAGAGGAGCCTCATCCCTGACCAGGGTCTTGCACACAGCATGGCCCACCCAGATCCCCTGCTTGAGGCTACAGAAGCCCAGGACTGTGCACAGCAGGTGGAGCCTGTGTGGGTTGGGATGCAGTCATCGTGGCAGGCAGCCCCCCAGGGATGCGAGGCCAGGCCCAGCCCTCAGCTCAGCTCCGTCCGCAGGATCTTGCTCACCTTTTGTCTCCTCTGCCATCACCTTGGCCCCAGCCCAGGTCTCCACAGGGAAGCAGAGGGAGGAGGGTCTCTTGCCTTCTCCAGGTGGGTGAGTGGGCACCGCTGCCACTGTGATGGTGTCCAGTTAAGGATGTGAGCATGTGTGCAGCTGTGTAGTGGAGGAGTGGATTTGTGTGTGTGGATGTAGACTTGCACATCTGTGCGCGTGCGTGGAGTGGGGATGTGAGGGTGTAGATGGTGTAGGGTCCGCTCCACATGTGTCGGCCCATGTCATGGGGACAGGATCACAAGGCAGTTAGGAACACTGCAGTAGAGTGGTTGAGTCTATTTCGCCTGCTAAATTGCTCCAGGTTTTGTCTTTGTTGTCAGAGGCAGTGTTCCTGATCTTTACAAGCATCATTAAAGTGGAAAACAAAAGTGCCTTAACCATAATGTGCTCAAGACACAGTGGGGATGGGAGGCTGCTCCTGTGGGGTGGCTGTTCCTGCAGAGTTCCCGCTCCCACCAGGTGGCTGGTCCCCTCTGGCCAGCAGCCCCTCCTCAGTCCAGAGCCCCCACACTTGCTGCAGCCCCTGGAACCCAGCTGCTGTCAGGATGGAGCAGAGCAGAATTCCACCGGTGTCTTTCTTTGGGGAGCCACCAGCCTGTGGGAGCACAACAGCACTGCTTCCCAATTATGCGGTGTTTCCAGTGTGCATTTCAGCTCAACTGTATTTGATCTCTGCCTTTTACAGTCAGCTCGATCTGTTTTGAGCATGTTTCTGAAGTGAAACATCAGCCGGCACTTGGTTAAGGGTAGATGCTCTGTGCAGCTCCTCTGGCAGGGCCAGGGCCGGTGTCTGTGAGCTTTGACTTGCTCAGGTGACCTCCAGACATGCTGGGTGAGAAGTTCGTGCTCTACAGATTGTACTCTGCTTTACGTGACCCTCATAGAACAGGATGTCAAGTGAGAGGTGGTGGCAGTGTGCAGTGACCCGTCCTACTGTGCTGAATGGAGCCTCCCTTGGCCACCAGTGAGGCTGCAGGGGACAAAGTGGAGGGTCAGTGCCTTCTGGGCAGTTCCCTTGCAGGTGCTGCCTCCTTGGCACTCTGCTTGGGCCCCAAAGAGTCAGCGATGGTCAGATGCTGCTGTCTATTGGAGACTCGCAGGGTCCTTGTGAAGAGATGCTGCTCTTCTCTGCTCCACTCGAGTTTACCTGCTCATGATACAGTGGCTCTCTGCA